ACTATATTTATTATTGCCCCAAGTGGAAATATTAAATAAAAAATCTATTAAAATATTGAAATGATAATACAAACATAGTAAAATTTTATTCTTAATTTAAAACAAAGTATCAACAAACAAAAGACAAATTACATATTATCATAGCAAACCGAAGTAAAATTTTACTGTCACTTTCAAACAGAGCATCAGCAAACAAAACATAAATCACATATTACAAGAGTAAACACCAAAGTAAAGTTAATCTAACAACAAACAAAAAACACCATTATTCAATCAGATTCAATAAAAAACAATCATAACAAATGAAATACATATAGTTCAATCTTCAATCTCACTTGAAAAAACATTCAATAATTATTCACTCTTTCATCCAAACAAACGAAACACACTTCCCTTCTACGGCTCAATCGCAAGCTTCAATCCAAACAGTCATCGAAATATAGCAAACAAGGTTCGAAATACAGTAATCATTGAAATTCTACGACTCAATTGTGTAACCATCTCTTGCAATCTTGTAGACATTTTCTACTTGGAACGTTGAAGACAATATATATAAATATTAGGGGTGTTCACCAGTCGGTTCGGATCAGTTCTGCTATTAATCCGTCACCCAAACCGATCATTACAGGTAAAAGAATTGCACATCCAATTTCGACCAATAGGAAGTTCAAAATTGCATGCATCGGGCCTTATGGTTTGCCTGTCGGATTCGGTCAAGTTCTTGATTCCCATCAGCAACTCATTTTCGTATCTTACACAAACACATATACAAACAGATTTGAGAGAGATGAAGAAACTGAGAAGACTATTGTGGTGTGGTGTTGACATGCATACCTATTGGATCTAACCCAAAAGCATCAAAGTAGAGAGATCTAGACGGTGCTTGTTGATAACCGAATAGATGTAGATGCAATAAACCATGAGGATTGAAGAGAGGTTGAGGGAGAGAGAGGGTTTGGCAAAAGGAGAGAGGAACTTCAAAGTTCCACCAAAAGAAAAGAAGAGTTAGCATACATAAACCTCTGTATATTAGTATATATACAACCCAAACATCATGTATATCATAACATATGTCATGTGTGTATGATGATATATTTATAATCATGTAACATATTATATTATGTGTATGTAAACGTACTTATTAATCACATGTATCAATGCATAGAAAATATCAAACCTAAATGATTGTGTATTATAGGGTAGGGTTACTTTAAGGAGTCAAATGTACTTTAAAACTGTTTAGAATTGTAATTTTATGCATTTTTATTTGTAATGTTCAAGTTTTGAATGGAGGTGGACGATATAAAAACTGGTGTTGTTGAAGGTGTTTCAACAAGTGATTTCAATTGTATTGAACTTGCGTTGCCTAACTTATTTTCCCAGTTGAGGTTAAGATACAAACAAAAGAGTATTAAGGTTGATAAAATATTGATAAAATATTCCCCCCTTTGCGCACCCAATGCCAATAGGTTGGTGAGAGTAAATGTTTATGATTGGAGATTAGATGGTAATGACAGTCTGCAGGCATGGTTTCTTTTCCCTGAGGATTATCAGTGCGAGTTAGTCTATTATGGGAATGGTTATTGTTCAATTAACGACAACCAGGTGCCGTGGATGGTGAAGTATCGACTTGAAAATTCAAATATTAAAAGGGGGATTACGTATTGTAAAATGAAGGGGTATCTGAAGTATTCTACAAGTGAGATGCTAGAAGATTCACAAATGAGGGCCCCATCTATTGTTGTGTTACCTAAAAAATATACTAATGAAAATGTTGATGTTTGGCATTGTCCTCCAATGAAAGTCATTCCAATTCTGACACGGACTAAGTTTGTGGGTTTACCGGAGAGGCGAAGAGATTTGTTGTTAGGAGGTTTTGGGAGAAGTGGTTCAGTTATTCATGAACGCAGAGGTCGTTTGAATTTGTCTGAGATTGATGTACGCAGAAGTAGTGATGGAACTAGTGATATTGATCCTGGTCCATCGATTTCGGAGGTTGGTGTTAGCAAAGAAGAAGTTGATCGTAGAGAATCAGTTGTTATGAATCCAACAGAATTTTCTGATGTTTTACGAAATGTAATAATGAGTGTAAAAAATAGTGGTGTAAAAAATAGTGATGTAATAGTTGATGATAAGGGAAATGTAGTAAGTAAATAAAAGTTTGAGTGGTTTCATAAATAAAATTAATAAAAATTTTCATTAATCATGACGGTGGTTACATTAACATCAAATCATTCTCTCATTTTTTGGGACATTACATCTAACCAACTACTGTCCCCATTAGTTAATATAATACATGAAATTCCTCCTATAATAGTGAGATCTGGATAAAATTTAACAAATACGTGGAAGTCTCTGTGGCATCCTACTAAATTCTTTATAAATTCAGTAGGGGCTGTCGAGTATTTGATGTCGTCTATGACGTTGTAGACAGCATCTTGATTGTAGTCCTTGAAGCTTATTCTGCTAGAGAAGTAATTGTGCCGTCCGAAGCTTTTGGCCCAGGTGGTTTTTCTTGTTCTTAAGGGTCCTTAAAGGTAGAGAGAGATTGGGCGGATGGGCCGCTATTCTGGTTCCTGTTATCAGAGGAGGAGGAGAGTTCTTCGTCAATATATAAATTGTTGATATTATTTTTGTGTATCCCTAATCTAATCCAGTCGTCTTCCCTCCAAACAGAGAGATAGCAATTTTGACATGAATCGTATTGTACAAAATTTTGATTTACAAACAAAATATTATTTTCTGCCTATTTTTTTACTTCTTCATTTAAGAAAGGAAATGAATTAAAGGGGCTAGTATACGGGGGGGCTCTCTTTTGTAATGATCCTTCGAAAATATTTTTAATTGGGGGTATTTTGTGACATAATCGGTGGGACATCTTTCTTTGCAGAGTGCAAAGAATTGTTCCTCCGTTTCTGCTTCTGCAATTATTCCCCTCCAGAGTTTGTCTCTGTTCTTCGAAGGACTTTTCCCCTTAGATGAAAATTCTCCTTATTCGACAAACTCGCTCCCTTTCTGTATATACTGTCGACTTGCTGTTGGCAAGTGGAGTTTTTCTACATTTGGATGATAGATTCTGCCGTTGGTTCCAGTGAGATCGAAAAATCTCGAGTTAAAGGTATGGATCTTCTTCGTGCATTGAACCATGGCATGAAGGTGAGGGTTTCCATCTTCGTGGAGCTCCTTTGCGACAAGTATGTAGTATGACTGATAGGCTAGTTGGAGAAGGGATTGGAGGAGTTCTAAGAGTTGTTCTTTTGGGCATGGGCATTGTGGGTAGGTGAGGAAAACATTCTTGGCATAAAAACGGAAAGAGACTTGGCGAGACATTTTGTAATGGTAAATAGTAAACCCACACCAGACGTACAAGGCCTCCCTATCAGTTAAAAAACTTGGTGTGAGTGGTGTGACTGGGGGGCGCTATATTAATATTACCAGCACCCCCCCCTCCCGCTGATCTGGGCCGTCCATTGTTGTACTTATGGACACGTGTATGGATGTGGTTAAAATGAAGTTACACCTGGGCCCAAGTGTGAGTGGTGTGAGTACTTTTGATTCCTTTGCCAAATAGTGCTTTACACGTGTCACTTTTCTGGTGGTTTGCGTGGTTCTAAAGTAAATATTCTTGCAGAATGATAGACATAAAGCAAAGGCGGGAAAATAAATGTGTTTGAATTATTTTGAATGGAGTATCTTCGTCCTTATACGCGAGCCACTTTGGCTATTTATTTGGTACCAAAAAACATTTTATGGCAGAGAGGAATATGCTTTTACAGGTGGGATAGCTACTGTGGTGAAGTTGTTTGAAGCATTTATTGGAGTGTTTACTTGCATTTGAAATCTGAAACAAAAGGGTGAATAAAAGTCTAACAATTTTTTTTGAGCCTTGTGCTACCTTCTTTGTGATTGGTACAGACTTAGTTTTAATGCTATTATTACACGAACCGCCAAGAGTTTTAATTGCTATTTGACTATTATTTCAGACGGTTTGGGTATATTCAGTTTCCAAAGGATTAGAACCGTCCACCAATCGTAACATTGATGAATCTTGTCTACGGAATCCAAGCCGACCGTGGAGTGTTTTTGAAACCGACCACAACCATTCGGTTCGGTTCTAATTTGTCAGTTTCATCAGGTGATTCGGTTTTTTGAACACCCCTAATAAAAATATATATGGAGAGAGAGAGAGAGAGAGAGAGAGAGAGAGAGTTAGTTTATCACGTTGATGATTGAAATGGCAAAAGAGAAGTAATGAAAGATAAAAAGGGCAAAATCATCTCAAATAAATAAAAAAAAGAACATGTGTTATGATAAATAAATTTTAAAAGACTTTATACATTAAAAAATATTCACTTGTCCTTTTAACTCTACACAATTATGTCAAAGGACTTTTGACTAAATATTCTTTTACAATCAACCTTCAGTTCAGTCCACTTCAGGCAACAACACATTGTGGTGGCTTTCACAAGTCATTCTTCGATATAAAATCTGAATTGTCATGTGCAAGTCATATGTCAATTTTCCATCCATTTATGTAATGGATCCTTACTGAAAGGTTCACATTGGTACAAATTGATAGTTTAAGGTGGCAAAGTGTAGCACTTTCTAGTTGAGAGGTGAAAAATGATACTGAGTGACGGTTGGGTTAAAATGTAATTTACCCTTAATTAACGAACTTGTGTAGACATTTGCATACGCTTTAGTTTTTGTTTCCAAACATTTCTGTACATATCTAAAAAAATTATTGTTTTCCTTAAGTTTCCAAAATGCTTTCATTTCTAAGCTATCCAAAACACCCTAAATAAATGAAATTTTGATGCTTCAGTAGATGGCAAAGCAAGACAGAGTTTACAGTGTGACTTTATAACTCAATACAAATGATGCATGGCATTGGGTTTTGTCAATGAATTGTCATAAATAGCATGCACAGAAGACCAATTACTGATAAATTTCAAATGCGTGAAATATTCAAAGACATAGCAAACATCAAGCATACTAACCCCTGGTTCTGAAAACTCAAGCGACGGGCAATGATCGAGAATCTGACACAAGATAGCAACTGATTCATGAGCAAGATATCCAGCATCTGCGTCCACCATGTCTGAAACTTTCATGAACTGGATAACAGAATTATTATTTGACTTTGTACAGAAAGTAGTCTCCTTCCACATACTTTTGGCATGGTTCTTTTGATTTGCCAAAGACATCTTGTAACTAACCAAAAAGTTCTTATCAGAGTCACTTGTGACTGATGGATTACACTCCAGAAATGCACATATGCTGTCTAATGACTTGCAGACCCCTGCATTATTATCACGCAACAAGAAAAAAAAGAAAAAAGAAGGGGCTCATAGTGAGAAAACCATCAAATAAATGAGAAAGTCAAAAACAACTTAAATAACCTAACCACCCATTAACTCACCAATCTGAAGCTGAAATCCACCTACTTCAAAAGCTGGACTAACTATTTTCCTGGTTTCTAATATGCCAATGAAAGACATGAAGTTATGCATCATCCAAAGGACTAACTCGCCTTCCCCTGATAGATGATCAACTGGAAAACCAGCATTCCTCAACTCTGTGTTACCCATTAAAAATGTCTCCTTTAAAAGAAGAACCTCTGCACAAAAGTGAATTGTATCGCCAACAACAAACCCGGAGTCTTGATCGAAGAGACTATTCAGAGTCAAAAATTCACACCAGCCCAATTCTTTTGTAGCATTGGAGAAACGGTCCAGTGAGTCCTTACTAACAGATTTATCCATGCACCTCTGGTTCTTGACAGACAACCGATAAGATACAAAACAACTCCAGTCAGGGGAACTATTCTGGTTATCAACTTGGAGATAAAATGAAAAGTGACTTGGCGGTTGAGATAACCCTGGTGTGCAATCAAGCATAAGCATGAAATCCCATCAGTTCTCTTGCAGTTTAAAAGTCTTAAATATTAAAACACACCACAGGTTCCAATCATTCAGATAACTGATGATATATATGCGATTCCTATAGCAAAAGTATTTAAATTACATCCTCTATGATTCAAAAATTTTAACTTAAATGATTTAATAGTTTGTACATAATTCAAGAATGTCCAACATATTGCAAGTAATTGTCATGTTCTTTGATTGATTCCAAGCCATTCATGATAGAGGTAGAATGACAACATCCGTTTCTTCCTTCTAACATGTATTGCTTTTTACACTGATCAAATTCATTTCAAAATCTTTCCACCTTATCAAGCAAGTATTACAATAATGTATTCCAAGATTCCATTAGAAATAGGACAATATACAAATTAAGTTACATTTTATTTATTAATTATTACCTCTAGGATAAACCCCCAGATGAAAATCCTGATTTCCAATCTGAAACCTCCTGCTGTTAACAGCTAGACCCACGATCTTCCTCTTCTTCATAAGATCCTTCAACCTTGTGAAATTCTTAATTTTCCAAACAAACCCTCCCTGATACCAATCAGGTTTATTAGGCATAATAGAATTTTTAACCGCAGGAGTCCTGGTAATCTTAAGGCATCCACTAGATTCCTTAATCGCTTGGAATGACACACTGAACACAGCAGTATCGTCAACAAGAAAACCGTTGTCCAACCCAATAAACTTCGACATTTTCATATAATTACACCAGCCAATATACGTAGTGTCCTCGAAATTGACGTCTGTGCCAAACCGCCCATGTAAGTCCCTATGAATGCTCTTGGAACCTGATTTATGATTCAACACTGACATTCTAAACATGCACCAACAGCTCCTATATTCAAAACCAGTCAAATTCTCCATCTCTTTACTATCTAAACAAAGATACAAATACTCAACCTTATCGGCCACATACCCATGAACAGAAATCCGAAGATTACATTCCTCCACCGGGAACGAAGGGCTCAATAGCTTATGAGTCTTAATCATTTCCCTAAACAAACCAAAATTCTTTATAGTCCAAGTGAATTGCCCACTACTAACACTTACACTCGAGGATGCCAACTTTGATTCATTGGTATCCGGTACAAACGAGGTTGATTCATTCAAAACTCGAATATCAGCGAGAATGAAGAGAAAATTGTTGGAGATAAACCCTAATTGGGGATCGAGGACCGTTGAAGAGAGAGTGAAGTCAGACCAACCATGAGACTTCCTCTTAGAAGTGAATCGACAGTAGGAATCTCTATGCAGAGACTTGGATTCATCGAGAGAGTTGAGAATAGAGAGTTTGTAGTAAGTGAAACAACCCAATTTGGAAGTGCGAGGAGGGTCGATAAGATGAAGGTAGAGAGAGAGAGAACCAGGTAGAGCATCAGAATGGCCTCTAGGGTATACCACAAGACGACAATCGATACCTGATGTTTCGACTTCCAAGTAAGGACTATACACTGCCTTTGATTTCGTTCTTTCCAAGTTCGGGATCGTCCATTTGCACACCACCGAGTAGTCCGTACGCCGATCCACGGAGACTCGTTCTTCGCCGGACATGGCGGATGAAGACGGCGGTGGTGCTGGGTAGGTGGATTCCGGCGACGCCGATGGTGACGGCGGCGGTGGTGGTGCTTGAAGTTTACGCCCCATTTCCAAATGTTGTGAATGAATACGAAATGATTTCAAGAGCGAGGATTTGGCTTGGGTTGGGTTGGTTTTGTTTTGTTTTTGTTCTCTCTCTCTATACAGATAGATATACTCATACAGACATAAATGCTTTAAGAGAGAGAAAGTGGTGGTCGAGCAAGCTGCTTTTTGAATCTCCCGCGATAACAAGTGTCACAGTTTTGCATTCGTAGTTGGATAAATTACACACTGTCTCTAAAATATTAGCCAATTTTCAATTTGACCCTTGCAATTTATTTTATTTTATTTTTTTGTCCAATTTGGTCTGTATGTTCTGTTTGGCAAAGGTTGAAATATTCACATCTATTTTAATTTTTTTTTGTATTTTGTGATTTTTTTTTAGATTTATGTCAAATGCCTTTTTCTTTTAAGTAATTCTATTCTAGAATGATCTATAAAGTTAAAATTAATAAACCCAAAAAAAGCCCCTCCAAGAAAATATACTTCTTTAATTGGCTTTTTTTAAACACAATTTCTATTTCTATAAAAAAAAAAAAAAATTGGATCTTCTAATCTAATATAACCTAAAAGTTATTATTATTATTTTTTAAATTAAAACTATTTACTAAAATGAAGAAAATATCAAAAAAATTGTTAAAAAATACTTGTCAAACTATCCCTTAAAGTATGTAATACTCAACTTGACACAATAACCAATGTCTATATAAAATAAAATAAAATAAAAAAATTGACAAAAAAAAATGTCATGTGATGCACCCAGGATTGCATGGTATTTTTATTAATTTGAACTCAAGGGCAATTTACATATGTAGTTCATGTACTTCATTCCTTGTAGCAATTCATTGATTTGGCTATTGAAAATTGTGTTAATAAATTTTTAATTGCATATTAATTTGGTTCAATTAATAACTAGCGTTAAATTTCTTGGCAATTCGCATTTGTCACAAACCATACACTGCCACCTTCTTCCTTCTTCTTTCGCCCCCCGCTCACCATGTTGACACTCCATGTTGACACTCTGATCTCTTTCTGGTTTGCTAAATGTCAAACATACTACTATATTTTGACAAATAGTATCCATTCAAGACTATGAAGGCAATAATTCATGTTGAAGGATTTGGAATGCATTTAGGGCTTGGTTGATTAGACAAATTATAACATAAGATTGAGATTATTAATTCATGAGTCTGGCATTTCAATATTTGGTTGTAATTTTTATTTTCTAAATTAGATTCTAATGAACATTCTATGTAACGGAATTGGTGAATTTTTTAATTTTACAACTAATAATACAAAATAAATATATTATTGGGATTATATATTTCCACATCCACGGCAAAACAAACATGGATAAGCAAGGTTTATTTATTTCAATAACCTAACTGGATAAACGATGTAATATTAATCTCATAGATATGATAATTCCTTCATCCTTAATCCTACTAGTCAAATAGAGCCTTGAGGCCTTCAACATTCAGTGAGACTTGTGATAAAATTTGTTAACAAACCCATGATGTTATATAAAGCCATTGGAGTAACTGATGTTCGTTTTGGTTATCAATGGTATGAATAAGATGGCAACAAGACAGATATGGGTCAGGGAACCTTTACCCTACCTTCACTACCATTTAGTGAACATTATCTCATACCCGACCTTACTTATTGCACCTCTCTCACACCCTCACTCCACCCATGCTTAGTAGAATCTCATCCCTAACCTTACCCACTTTGGATAACATGCCTTTTTGGGCGCACTCACATGTCGTTCCTAACTCAACCTTTTCATCTATATCGTACATCGAATGTGAATCATAATAGTTTATAGTAATTGTACACACCCCATTTTGACCGACCATTAAAACTTAGGCACTTGAAATGTTTTCCGATGACGAAAGATATCATAATTTCAACCTTAGAGATGCTTGAAGCTGTTAGAGTTGTTGCGTTGCTATTTTCATGCCAAAAATTATTTTTAGCCAAAATTATGTTTTTTTTATTATTCGTTTTGAGGTCCTATTTTCACCTAAAAATAGTTGGAATTTGAAAATGTCTATTTCATACGAAATTGTGTCCCTTGGAATTATCTTTCCAAGGCTGCTTGATTTACCTCAAACCAATGTCAGATGAGAAAGATATACCCAAAATACGAAAATCTATCTGATATGCACCCGTACATCCTTGTATGGCCGCACATCACCATGACGGCAGTCGCATGTACACTTTCTTCTTGTGCGACCACACATTCCTAGTGTGCTTGCATATTCCTCGTGCAAATGCACATTCCACCGATAGACCCATAATTTTGTTTCGCTTGGGCTGTGTTACGAATTGAGCGGGAGGCACCGCAAGTTAGCAATACGGGAACCCTAGGGTGACCTTTCTTGACCCCTAAGGCTCCCTATTGCCTATAAAAGCAACCACTACCCCCTCCCCCCCCCCCCCAATGCGGGAACCCTAGGGTGACCTTTCTTGACCCCTAAGGCTCCCTATTGCCTATAAAAGCAACCACTACCCCCTCCCTCTCTCCCCCTTTGAAAGGATTCAAACTTTAAGCAATTTTAGTAAGTTTTTGAGTGAAAAACACTTGCCTCCTTACACCCTAAACTCTAATTCTGAAAATCACACCACTTTACGGCAACTTTAACACCTGAAAGATCATCTAAGGTTTGAAGAACTTGAACTTAATCATAACCTAAACTTGAGGGAATCTTACAAGCAAGAAAGCTTGGCTTTTCTGCGCATTTTCTTTGGTTATTGCAAACCAGTGAGTGAGTACTCCTTTTTATTTAATTTCAGCACTTATTTAATCATATTTTCAATATGTACTCATAGCTAGGGTGTTAGCATGGTATGACCATCATGTAGTTTAGCTATTTGGTTAGTTTTTCGCTTTGTTTTCACATGTTTTGTTTAGTTTATTAAAATAGCGTGTTTAGGGTAGTTTGATATTCATGTAATCATGCATTGAGCCTAGTTTCATCATCATCTAGTCTTATCATATTTTTCTCTTTTTATTTGTTAGTTCCTTTTTGTGCATAAAAATCATGTTAGTAGCCTCAAAGTGGGCTTAGGTTCATGTTTGTATGATTAGTTGTATATTTAGGATCATATTTATTTTATATAATGTGTTGGATGCATGGTGTGGTATAGACACCCCATTTTGATTGGCTTTGTGACACCCGAATTTTCTTTTTTTTTTAAATTCAAATTTTGCAATAAAAAGAACTCAAAATAATAATAATAATAATAATAATAATAATAATAATAATAATAATAATAATAATAATAATAATAATAATAATAATAATAATAATAATAATAATAATAATAATAATAATAATAATAATAATAATAATAATAATAATAATAATAATAATAATAATAATAATAATAATAATAATAATAATAATAATAATAATAATAATAATAATAATAATAATAATAATAATAATAATAATAATAATAATAATAATAATAATAATAATAATAATAATAATAATAATAATAATAATAATAATAATAATAATAATAATAATAATAATAATAATAATAATAATAATAATAATAATAATAATAATAATAATAATAATAATAATAATAATAATAATAATAATAATAATAATAATAATAATAATAATAATAATAATAATAATAATAATAATAATAATAATAATAATAATAATAATAATAATAATAATAATAATAATAATAATAATAATAATAATAATAATAATAATAATAATAATAATAATAATAATAATAATAATAATAATAATAATAATAATAATAATAATAATAATAATAATAATAATAATAATAATAATAATAATAATAATAATAATAATAAAAATTAAAACCCATGGACATGTTTGTCTAAATTTTGAAAAGTATTTGACAATGATCTTGTAAACAATTATTTTCTGTAAGTACCACCACGTGAGTCCCATACCTTGAGGGACTTAAATAACCATTGGCCCCTGTTTGACCACCTTGTGGTCCCCTATTTGTCATGGATCCATTGACCCCTGTTCTGATTGTCACTCCAGTGACTCCTGTTCTATTCTATTCTGTACCGCGGTTATAGTTATTTATTTCAGTTTCTGCCACTTAATTAATTTATGTATTCAACTCAAATTATGTTAATGTTTTAGCCTAAATAACTATTCATGGCTATTTTGATGCCCTTATACTCACAGTATAATATTTCTCACTCTGCTATGTGCTTATAGCTGTTACCCCTTTTAGGTGATAAAGTTTAGCAGGATCAAGATAGGGAATGAATCGCTGTGTTGTTTTTATTTATTTTTAAGATTTCTATCTGTGTTTTTTCGGGACTCTTATAATACAATAAAGTTCAATGGACTATGTCTGTTTCATTTTATTAAACATTTGGTACCCAATTATTTTATTTTAATTTATTTAATTTAACCGCTTGTGCTACGACTACAAAATTATTTGAATCATTTTATGATTATCTTGTCACGACACCAAGCCTCTGGATACCGGGTTTGGGTTGTGACAGGCTTTATGACTTGGGCGCAATTTTCTGGTTACCTAATGATGAAAACTGAGATGTGCTAATCCTATGAGTTCCTTAGTAGGAAATCTGAGAGGTAAGCCTTAAATCCTAACTTTGCACCTGTTTTGGCCAAAATATTTTTCTGCCAATTGAAAACCTTTTTCAAACTCTGTTTCATTGCGTAGCTCTAGACATTTCCACCATGTCCCGAGGCTCACCTTTTGAAAACTCAAAACATTGTCTTCTTTCAAATAGATTGAGCAAAGGATGTATTATGAATGAATGGAAGGGATGGAATCCTCTGAAATACATGTTTCTCCTTTCAAATCATGCTAACCTTACTTTATTAATCCAACGATATATGTTTCATCTGGCCAGTCAACAATTCATGGCCGGATGAAAATACAGTCGACTGGATATATAATGGTACAACTGAATTGTCTGGTAATAAAGTATTTTCGAGAATTTCGATCTTTTCTATGAGGTTTCCACAAATATCTGAGATATAAATAGAGGACG